TGTGTGTGTGTGTGTGTGTGTGTGTGTGTGTGTGTGTGTGTGTGTGTATTTTGACTGAAGTAACAGGTACTTCATGTCTACCTAATTACTCTGGTGACAGATGGAATGTATACCAGTTGCAAAGCCTGTTTTTAGGGACCAGGAAGCCTTAATCGTTTTGGTTTTTGCCACCTTCCTTGGAGTGCAGACATTTTCTTATTAGTTGGATTTTCATGCCACATATAACCAAGCGGCAAGGTGTTAAACCATTCTGCTGCTCTGCCTTATTTATAGCCATGACCCATTCTTTCCCCCCCTCTTACAGTTAATAGAAAGATTCATGATTCTTCATGGTTGTCTATCTAGTGTCTGACAGTCCCGACTGCCTGCTAAAGCAAGTCACTATCTATAATTGATATCCTGCCGTGGAATAGGGTGCTGGCTGCAATTGAAGGGCTTTGCTGAAAGCCCTTAAATCCTGACAAGTTCTCCCCTTGTTCTGCTTCAGTCGCTGAGCTGCAAGGTTGGAATTCCAGAGCTATTTGAACTTGGTGCAAAAGAGAGACATGTGTTTCACATTAGCAAATCGCAAAGTTGAAGAAGGGAATTAGGAACTGGCTGACTTTCCCTGCCAGTAGTCTCCCTTCTAGTGCAATGCAGCACGCCGTGTTCTAGGGAAAGATTACCTCCTCTATTACTGACTGAAAAGATAGGCAGAATATTGCCTTTCCTCCTTTTCCCTTTTATTTCAAGCCCCTTTCCTTTCCCAAATGGATGTTATTCTAGATGTGCTGCAGACAGGATCTGATATCTCAGTGATGTGTAATTAATTTTATTTCACAGCAAAATAATTATAGTTGGGCCTAGTTGCTCTGAAGCTAGTATTAAATTTGAGATAAATTTACTTTTATTGCCAGAAACCAGGAAAATATACATGTATTTATGTTCATCAGGATTTTGTTACATTTTGACTCTTTCTTGATATGTAGAATATGTAGTAAAAAGTTAACTACAAGTACTTTTGATTGGTTGTATTTCGGATGGATTTGTCAAGATCCAAACCTGATTTCTGAAAGACACAGATTCTAATGTTTCAGGGTAAGCTGAAGTCCCACACTTCTGTTGAGGTTTGACTTCGCCAGATTCTACTGTTGTGCGTTATGTTACCGAGCAACCCGTGTGTTAAATGTAAATATGCTTCTGATGTCGGGCTCTGTGAGTTCCCAGAGTTTGCTCCAGCCTTTGCTGTTTCTTCCTTAACTCAGCCTGTGTCATGGAAAGAGGCCCCACCCACCTTCTAGACTTTGCCCTGCTCTGCTTCTTTCTTTGAATTTTGTCCTGGAAGTAATTGTGCCCTTGACTATTGGTGGTGGAGGCATTCGAAGTCCCTCATAGCTTGAAGCTCAAGGTCATCTCATATTCTCTGAAACCTGAATGATTCAGAGGCAAAGGACACTGTGTTTCCACCAACACATGGCAAGGCTTTTTAAACTGAAACATAAAGGAATAAATGTAAAAATTGTACATTTTAGAGTGTCCTTACCACTGTTCCATGGCTCCCTGTGCTTGTAAGCATCGGTGTTGAAATCTAAAAGAAGAGACTCAGAGCGGTCACTGCTCGCCTTGTGCAGCTTCTGCTGTGACACTGTCACTCTCAAACAGATCCACCAACTCTTCAGCACCGCTCTTAAACACATCAACTCTAGGCTTGCTTCGTAATTAACACATACAGGATCTTTCCCAATGGTCTACAGAAAGTAAATATAGTTCTTAGCAGGTTTATTCTTCAATGTAATTTTTAGCAACACGCCCCAGGACAATGGTGCCTTGGCAGCGACACATGGTCGCCGTATCTTAAAGCTGAACTTCAGATCGGGCAGTGGATTTATAATAACATCCGACTTCAGTTGGGTGGCGTTTAAGTAAATGTAATCCTCCATCCACATCTTTAAAGCTGGGTGTCATTTTTTTTTCTTTTAGTAGAATGATTAGCCACCTACCTGGATTATAAATGCTTTTATATGCTGCAAATTTTGATCTTCAAAAACATGCTAAAGTTCTCCCCTAATCACTTTTGCTGCCAGTTGGAAACAAATTCTGTACATTTACAGCATAAAAATCAAGCGCTTTCACTTTAGTATCTGAGGTTCAGGTGTATAATTGTGTCTATAAACACACAGGAAAGTTTCATGTGAATATATTGTTTTCATATTAAATCCCTAATCCTAAATTTGCATTTCACATCCTTTGTCTAATTTTTATCACTGTACTGTGTTGCACTGAACATCTTTAGCTAATAGAAAAGTAGGTTTAAGATGTGAGAATGGTCTCAGACGAGAGGCAGGGATTGGTTTCATGTCTAAAATCTAAAATGAACAAGTAGAGATTTTGATCTTATTTTATTCTACCTGTAGTTGTTAGTTAATTTTCCTGCTCTAATTATTTGGAAACGTGGCATGTAAAATGTAGAATAAAACCTACAAACTTCAAAGTCACTCTGCAATGATTTTTGCCTTAGGGAGCTTTTTTTTTTTTTTTTTTTTTTTTTTTTTGTGAAGTTACTGACTAAATTTCACCTGCAGAAAGCATTTCCATCTAAATATATCTAAGAGATTGGACTGAAGGGGCAAGGAATGAGGGTTGGGTGTGTAAAAGCAACCCAAAGTCCCAACTAAATTCTGAGTAGCAGCCTCATCTCTGCCCTAATTCAGGATGCCCTCCCAGGCACCATTTGACCTTTTCAGACATTATTTTCTCACTTATCAGACTGTGAAAAAGTCGTGAAAATAATTACTGTCCCAGATGTCCAAGGCCAAGCAGAGATCATATACAGTGGGCCTGGTATTGGGTCTAAATGAGGCAATTCCAACTCTTGTTTGTTTTTCAAAGGCTTGGTTAGGGAGGATGGTGT